ATGGCCTGCAGTCCCCAGTGGGCATGACCAGACACACTCTAAGATGTTGGTTCTTACTGTGTTTTATAAATAGAGTGTAGTTTACAGGAAAAGGAAACTTTTTTAAAAAGTTATCTACATGCAAAACTGTAGATGATGGAATGATGTATTTTTTTTCATCTTTTTTGTTAACTGATTTGCAATAAAAACGATGCCCACGTTCATCCGATTTTGCTAAACTCGGCTGTGGCGTTGGTTCACTTTCTGGGAGGGAGGGGCCGTTGCGCTCTGAGGAGGCCGGGCGTCGGTGGCCCCTTCTGACGGGGGCATGATGGAGGGGCTGCTGGTCCTGCCCCTTGGGGTGCTGGGGGCCACGCCACCTGCAGGAGTCCCACAGCGTCTGCAGTCTGCCTGGCCAGGTCTGTAAAGGGGGGCTGAGGCCACCCCCTCTGAGGGCGACTGTCATATCTGGGGTGACGTGGCTCTCAGGACACCCGGCGTGCGTCTGGCTCTCGTGTCCCTCTTGGCCACAGAGGAGTGAAGGCACGGCTTACCCATCCCGGGGAGCCCCGCGGCAGGGGGGAAGGGACGTCGGGAGAGTGCTGAGGCAGTGGCTGGACCCCTCGAGGGCTGGACACAGGAAGGTAGCCACAGAAATGTCTGAGGCAACGTGGTGAGTCTGGAAAGTTCCGTGAGCCAAAGAGGGCTTGCTGGCCGAGCTACACAGGCAGCGTGGTCCTGGAGCTCGTGTACCTGGGAATCCAGGAGCAGACCATCAGCCCAGGCCAGCGTGGCCTGCTCATCTGGCTCCCTGACCTCAGGGCAGGCCACTGGTTTCAAGCCAGTGATGGGGATGGGGGTGGAGGGATCTGATGTCCCCCTTTGAGCACAAAGCACTGCCTGTCCTGGACCCAGCCCCCAAGATATCTCCACTGTGTGTGGATGCTCTGTCCCCACCAGGCACGGTGCTGGGCGCCAGGACCATGTACAGGGGACGAGAGGTTCCAGGAAGGAGTGACCACGCTTGGCCTGACTCACCTCTTCAAAGGGGGTGAGCTCGGCCCAAAGAACTCCCAGCACCCCAAAATCCTAGGTGTACGCTCAAGAGAAGTGAGGATGGGGGCTCAGATACAAGTGCCCACGTGTTCGTAGCAGTGCTCACAACAGCCAGAAACAGGCGGTGTCCACCTGCTAAACACAGATAAACAAATGTGGTCTACCCCTGCTGCGACAGTGAGTTCTAGGTGTCCACGTTCTGAGGGTGTTTCTAACCAGACCGACCTCTGAATCCATCGCCTGGGTGAAGCGATTGCCCTCGGCAGTGTGGGTGGCCTCCTCCAAGCAGCGCAAGGCCGAATGGAGCGAGAGGCTGAGGGTGAGGGAGCCCTCCCGCCTGGCTGCCGCGCTGGGCCGCGGGTCTTCTGCCTTCGGACTCTCGGCCTCCGGCTGCCGCCAGCTCTTGGACTGGAACTTACGCCATCGGCTCTCGAGGGTCTCCAGCTTGGGACTCGTCAGCCTGCATGATCACGTCAGCCAGTTCCCTAGGCACGTCTCTTTCCGTCGTGTATACATCTGATTGGTCCTGTTTCTCTGGACAACCCTGCCCAACACGTATACGACGGTGTCCTTCAGTCACAGAGGAAGGGGCGCTGATGCACACTCAGCACGGTGAGCCCACGAGACATCGAGTCAGTGACAGGGGATTCTGTCTATGTGAATTGTGCTCAGTAGTTACAGCCGCAGACAGCAGGTTGGTGGCTCCCAGGGCTGGGAGGAAGGACATGTTCTGGAACCAGATAGTGCAGGTGGTGACTGCTCCCACTATAAAGGTACTAAATGCCACTGAATTGTACGCTCCGAATTGCTTGATTTCACGTTCTGTGACTCTCACCTCTGTACATTGTTTTTAAAAAGAAAAAACATTCCCAGCAATGTTTGAACTTCGATGAAGTGTGTTCCCACAGATGCAGCGGGACTGGCCTCATTGGTCTCAAGGAGAACTTCTCTGCTTCCCAAAGTCATGGGAGCCCCTGGCATTCGGGAGGAGCCTGAGGAGGAGAGCGCTGTGGTCTCTGAGCCTCGGCCCTCTCGTGTTTAAGCTGGACACACTGGAAGCTGCTCGTGTCCCAGCAGAAATAGTGCAAGGACTATAACGAAGCAGTGCACCCCAATGGCAGCGAGCTCTGCAGACACACTCATCCCTCCCAGGAGCGGTGAGCAGATGGCCCGCACCTGCCACAGCTGGGAACAAGGTGAGCTCCCTGTCCTCTGCAAGGTGCCACTCTGCCTCCCACATGCCCCCACCCTCCACACAGGCCTGAGCACAACTGAGATCCCCCAGGCCCCAGACAACGCCCATGGGGCGGGGGGCGGGGCAAAGCAGCCCAGAAGGAGGCCTGAGACCCACCCATGTTCCCACTGGGGCCACACCTGCTCCCACCCACTGCCCTGGCTCCAGAGCCCCCACTGCACCTGGCCTCACCTCTCACTCGTCACTGTCATTCCTGGATGGCACACAACCTGGGTTGGCCGCTCTGCCGCCTCTCCCTGGAAAAGGCCCTGCCTGGCCACATGTGTACCTCTCTCGGGGACACAGCCCTCTCCCAGGGCAAGCTCAGCCAAGACACCCATGGCTTGGGGATCTGTTTTGGGCTGAATAGTGTCCCCACCCCCAAACTCCTATGTTGAAGTTCTAACTCTCACTACCTCAGTATGTGACTCTATTTGGAGACAGTCTTTACAGAGGTCATTAAGGTAAAATGAGGTCATTAGGATGGGCCCTAATCCAATATGACTGGTGTCCTTATAAGAAGAGGGAATTTGGGGCTGGCCCGGTGGTGCACTCGGTAGAGTTCGGCGCTTGGGAGCGCGGTGGCGCTCCCGCCAAGGGTTCAGATCCCATATAGAGACCGGTCTGCTCACTGGTTGAGCGCGGTGCGGGCACGACACTGAGGGTTGCGATCCCGTTACCGGTCAAGAAAAAAGACAAAAAGGAAAAAAAAAAAAGAAGAGGGAATTTGGACAGACACGCACAGAGGAACGACCACGTGCAGACACAGGGAGAAGATGCTGTCTGCAAGAACCATGAGAGAGTATCATCTCTGCTGTTTAAGCTGCCTGGTCTGTGGCACTTTGTTAGGGCAGCTGGAGCAGACTTGCACAGGGTCCCAGGACACCCTTCTTGGGAGCCAAATGCATCTCAAGGGGCCACTTCCTCGGCAGCTCTGGCCCCTGGTCCGGGCATCTGCCCCCTCTTGGGCACTTGCCCTGTGTCTCCTGGGGACAGGAGTCTCACCCCAGGGACCTGGCAGCTTGCACTGTTTGCTACTCAAGACACAATGAAGTCAACCCAGGGGTTGCCCACCACCCCCCAAGGCGTCCTTCCTTTCTGGCTGCTTGTGCAATTGGATGTGGGGAGGGTCCCGTCCTCAAGGAAGAAGCGTTCCTCTCAGTGCCATGGGACAGGGTAGCGCAGCCCTGCCCGACAGGAGGGTAATCGCAACCACACAGGCGAGTTTGAATATTTCAGTAGCCACATCAAAAAGGGAAAAAGAAACAGGTCAAGTTTATTTTAATGATACATCTTGCTCCAGTATGTCCAAAATATGACGATTTCAGTGCATAGTCAATAGAAACGGGCAATGAGGTCTTCGACATTTTTTTGGTACTGAGTCTTTGGACCCAGTGCATATTTGACGCTGGAAGCATGCCTCTGTCAGACTGGCCACATTTTAGGTGCTCGGTTGTAGATTTAGACTTCAAAGAAGATCAAGGTGACCCCCAGGCACCTCTGTCACCTGCACAGAAAGACACAAGGTGTGTCATTGGTGTGGTGCCTTGCTCCACCTGGTTGCCAGAGTGAACCCCAGATGTGGTTCTGTGTCCCTAGGGCCAGAGCAGAGGGGGCCCAGGAGCTAGGAAAGACAGCTCCAGCACCCACAAATTAGTCCGACCAGCAGGGCTGCCCCTGACACCAGGGGTAGCACGGTGTGCTGTCCTCAGCTATCCAAAGGGCTGAGCAGCCCACTGCTTCCTTCATCCAGAAAGTCCTGTTTCCAAAAAAAGTCAGCGTGCCTGGACCGTGAGCTTAGTGGTGGAGCTGTTTTCCTTCCTGGGCAACTTCTCCTCTCACCATGGACCACAAGCTGCAACCGAAGAGCCTGCTACAGGGGACGGAGCTGTTGGCACAGACAGACGGTGGAGAGCTTGCATGGCTGCCTCTTACAGCAAGTGTTCTGGCATAACACCAACGTTTAATTCCGTGAACGTATTTCAATGCAAAATCTGAACAGTCTGGCCCAGCCCAGTCCCCAGGGAAACTGAGAACGAATGTGCTGTGTCCCAGGGGGTGGTTGGTGGCGGGTCAGTGGGCTTGGGAAGTCCTGGGTGAGGATAAAACAGGAGCCTTCATGGCAGAACTCAGGCTGGAAAGCGCTCGTGTGTACCGTGGGTCTCTAAGAGCGGAGGGTGTGCCGGCGTCCCCAAACGAACTCACTCCTGTTGTGCAGATGAAGGCACAGGGTCAGCTGAACCCATTCTGGGAAGTGCAGTTCCCTGCATCTGCATGTCAAAGCTGAGTTGAGTGCCATCTAGTCCACCCTGATGTGGTTCCTGATTTTTGTTGTTCTGTTTTCTTTTTTTTTTTTTTTAAAAGATGACCGGTAAGGGGATCTCAACCCTCGACTTGGTGTTGTCAGCACCATGCTCAGCCAGTGAGCGAACCGGCCATCCCTACATGGGATCTGAACCCGTGGCCTTGGTGTTGTCAGCACCACACTCTCCCGAGTGAGCCACGGGCCGGCCCCTGTTGTTCTGTTTTCATTCCCACCTGCAGCTGCAGGACTGGAGGTCTCTGCCCCTCA